CTTTGTCAGTAGTGTCCCAGATGCATGCCATTAGTTACAAGTGAAAATCATAGTGATTAATTTTGAGCTTCTCTTATGTGCAAAGACTTTGATGAAGGAGTTGTTTTAATCTTGGCAAGAGACCACTAGTACCAGAAGAAATATAACTCTCATGCTCTGTTACCAAAATTGGTGGTAAATCTGTAACAATGTCGTTTTATGAAGGACAGAATTATTTGATCATTGGAAAAGTTATGGCGCATTTTTCTGTCTCCCTCTGTAAAAGTGTATCATGGCTTTTCTGAGAACCCAATATTTAAGGAAAAGGATGAGGGAATTTTTAGCAATGGAATTTGGTCATATGATGGCCAGAGACCAACAGTGGAAGAAAATATTAATAAACTACAATTACAACTAATGATGTTCTGGGATTGAGGTAATTTTCTATGTAGAATTCTTAGTGGTAATAGAATTTTAGTACTATAGCTGATCTCATGAACAAATAAAAAAACTAAATTCAAGATATTTACTCAGTGTCACACTCAGCAAACAGTGATGAGATAGGCTTAGAATTCATATTATTTTTATCGTTCTGATTTATACTAGTTCTTTGTATATTACTATTAGACATGCAATATGTTAAATTTTGAAAATACAAAAATGAGAAAGACTTGTTTTTTGCCACAGGAGAACTTTAGTTCATTTAATAAGCAGAAGAACTCAGTAAGCTAAAAAAATTCTTTGCTAGCTATTAAGGCTTTAATAATGGCTAAGCCATTTTTCATTCAGGCATGTATTTATTCAGGATTTGTTGAGTGCCTACAATGTGCCAGGTTCTGTGCTAGTTTCAAATACAGCAGTGAACAAAATACAGAGAAAATGTTCACTTCAGTGGAGCTAACATTTGAGTAGAGAAAGACACACACAAAATACATAACTATATACTCTATTATGATTACTGTTGTGAAAAAAAAATAAGGCGGAGTAAGAATAGAGAGTAGAATAGGGGCTGAGAACTATTTTCTGAGAATATTATGGGTGTTGCTGATGAAGTAGTTTTCAGCAGAGTTGTAAAGGAAGCTTTCCAGGTAGAGATCAGAGCCAGGTATAGAGCTCACATATCATTGGGTAGACTGTGCTGGTGAGGTGGTGGTAGGGGTTGAGTGAAAAGGTGAGTGAAGGGTCTTTCCATCTCCTCAGTCAGGAAGATGGACTTACAAAGGGTCTTTGTTGTTAGAAACACATGGAACTCTGTGGGCTTTCCCCTGCAGATCTGCCTTATTATAGAAGGACACAGTGACAATGCAGATAGAATATTTGTTTGTTATGCCTGGAGTAAGTATCAAGAAATTCCTTACCAATAATGTATTACTTTATTTGCGATAAGAAGAATGAGTTCACAAGAGAACTTTCTCTTTTTTTTTTTTTTTTATAAAAAAACTAAATTCAAGATATTTACTCAGTGTCACACTCAGCAAACAGTGATGAGATAGGCTTAGAATTCATATTATTTTTATCGTTCTGATTTATACTAGTTCTTTGTATATTACTATTAGACATGCAATATGTTAAATTTTGAAAATACAAAAATGAGAAAGACTTGTTTTTTGCCACAGGAGAACTTTAGTTCATTTAATAAGCAGAAGAACTCAGTAAGCTAAAAAAATTCTTTGCTAGCTATTAAGGCTTTAATAATGGCTAAGCCATTTTTCATTCAGGCATGTATTTATTCAGGATTTGTTGAGTGCCTACAATGTGCCAGGTTCTGTGCTAGTTTCAAATACAGCAGTGAACAAAATACAGAGAAAATGTTCACTTCAGTGGAGCTAACATTTGAGTAGAGAAAGACACACACAAAATACATAACTATATACTCTATTATGATTACTGTTGTGAAAAAAAAATAAGGCGGAGTAAGAATAGAGAGTAGAATAGGGGCTGAGAACTATTTTCTGAGAATATTATGGGTGTTGCTGATGAAGTAGTTTTCAGCAGAGTTGTAAAGGAAGCTTTCCAGGTAGAGATCAGAGCCAGGTATAGAGCTCACATATCATTGGGTAGACTGTGCTGGTGAGGTGGTGGTAGGGGTTGAGTGAAAAGGTGAGTGAAGGGTCTTTCCATCTCCTCAGTCAGGAAGATGGACTTACAAAGGGTCTTTGTTGTTAGAAACACATGGAACTCTGTGGGCTTTCCCCTGCAGATCTGCCTTATTATAGAAGGACACAGTGACAATGCAGATAGAATATTTGTTTGTTATGCCTGGAGTAAGTATCAAGAAATTCCTTACCAATAATGTATTACTTTATTTGCGATAAGAAGAATGAGTTCACAAGAGAACTTTCTCTTTTTTTTTTTTTTTTTAGAGAGATTTTTGCCATAGGTCATATGTGCTCACCAGAGAGACAGAGAGATAGAGAGAAAGAAAAAGAGAAATCACCCCTCCTCCTCAGAGGGGATGGCCATCCCTTCTCTTCCATTCTCCTCTTGGGATTTTGAGCATGCACACACACGTACCTGGAGTGAGTTTAAGCCACGAGGTCTGGGATTTGAACTGTGGTTGACTACATGGGAGTCCAGTGCTGTAACCATTATGCCATCTGCTGGTCCTACAAGAGAACCATTCTAATGAGAATGAGTATAACTCAAGAGAGGGAAAGATGAAAACTAATTTTGGGAGTTAGCATGAATTGAGCACTTTTAAAAATCAAATCAGTGGGGTCTAGCAGGTGGCATAGCAGTTAAGGTGCTGGATTCTCACACGGCTGACCTCAGTTCAAGTCCCGGACCTAGCAGCTAAAAAAATCACTCCAGGCATATGTGTGTGCCTGCCCAAAATATGGAGAGGGGAATAGAGGAGAAGGGATTGTGATGTGATCATCCCCCCAGGAGGGGTGGGTTCCCACTTTTCCTCTCTTTGTCTCGGTCTCTCTCTCTTCTGTGAGCACATGTACCCTATGGCAAAGTATCTTATTAAAAAAAATTCTATGAGATAGCTATTAATAATTATGCAGTGTCAAAGAACTCACATTAGGAAATTAGAGTTGGAGAAAAATAATTTCAGTTTGTTCTTTGGTAGCAAAATCAGCAATTTTAGTTGAGCCTTCAAGGTCAGGAAACTTTAATACTATTGAACAAGGAAACCAAAAAAGGAGGGAGGAAATTACATATCACTCTCAGTAATTAGTTTTACTAGACAGATAATTTAGTTAAGTGGGGCTTTATTTAAGTGGAGTTTGAGGTTATCTTAAAGGACATCTAAATATTTCTATGGAATAAATAATTGGGCCAAATTGTCGATTTTAAGAATCTGGGTTTGGGGCTTATTAAAAAAAAAATACAGTGCTATCAAATGTTTTGGCATAGTTAAAGTGATTGTTTAGGAAATTAGCTTCCATTGGTAAATTAATCACTCCTGTTGGGCCTTTTCTTAGTCTTTTTGTCACTTGTATTACTGAGTAATTTTGCTTTATATCTATATATGGCTTTTTTAAAATGGAAAAGTTTACTCTTGTAGAACTTTTATTAAGCTTTAGAACAATTCCAGAAAGTTGTAAGGTTTACTAATTAATGTACTCACAATGGAGAACAATGAACCTCACATGAGTGACTTGCTAATGATGGGCTAGCTTAAAGAATGAGGTATATTGAGTAGACTGAAGATAATTTGTCTCAATCAAATAAATTAAAAGGCATACTGTCTTCAGTATATGATGATCTTCTTGGAGGTAGGGACCATAACTCCATCGTTTTTTGAATTCCACTACCTAGCATAGTAAATAAATGAGTTGGGTGAGACTGAATGCAAGGATACCTATTGAAGATGTGAAAAGTGAGGTGATATAGGTCTGACCTAATGGTTTCAAAGAGAAGTGAAAGAAAGGGCTGGACATAGGGTTGACTTTGCAGAGGTCAAAATATTCAGAACTTGGGAGCCAGCAGTTAGCGTAATGGCTATGTTGCTGGACTCCCATGTGGTCGACCGCGGTTCGCGTCCCGGACCCGGTGGCTTAAAACTCACGTCGGGCGCGTGTGCGTGCGTGCCCAAGATCCCGAGAGGAGAATGGAGGAGAAGGGATTGCGGCATGAGCATCCCCTCTGGGGGGTGATTTCTCGCTTTCTGTCTCTATGTCTCTCTCTGTCTGTCTGGTGAGCGCACACACCCTATAGTGAAAATCTCTCCCCCCCCAAAAAAAAAAATTCAGAACTTAATGACTTGATCAGATATGGTCTAAAAGAGTCACACAAAACTCAAGGACTTAGGTCTGAGTGATTGAAAGAAAGATGGATAGATTGGTGTGAAAGCTGGTTTCTAAGAAAAAGTTAATGGGTGCTATTTTTTATGTAAAAAATGATTTTCTAAAACAAGCTTAATGCCTTTTCTTGTTCAGAGAACTTTAGTACTAAAAGTTATTTTGGAATAATGTCTGAATATACTGGTAGAAATGTTTGGAGAGGTGTTGGAGATATGCTATGTCTGAAGAAGAAATCTGGTTTATCTGAGTAAAAGTATTCAAAAAATGAATGAATGGAATGTGCAGGAAAGGAGCAGGTAGAGGATTAAAAGTAAATAGTTGAGACTGAGCACTGGTTACAAACAACTGCTTATTGAATGGGAGGCCAGAGTGGAGGCAGGAAAACAAGACAGATGGAAAGCCAGAGCAGTGAAGTATCTTAGAAACCAAAGGAGAAGGGATTATTACATGGTGAAATGCACGTATAATTAAATATTTACGGGAAAATGAAAACTGCAGAAAAACCCAGAACATGTCAGAGATGACTTCACAGGTAGATTGATTGGCTATAATGTTCTTAATCCCTCAGAATGGAAAAAAGAAAAAAAAAAAACTCTTTCAGGGTTCAGTTTTCACTGTAAAAGTACTATTACACTTCTTTTTTTCCTCTACCACTTCTTAAAAGATTATTACATCACTTACTTTGATAAGCTGTGGGTGTTCTCTAGATTCAGATTCAGGTATATTAAAAAAGTAAATCACTCCTGAGAACATTTGTTTTTTTTTTAGATCTTGCCATATTCAGAAGTTGCTGAAGGTCAAGAGACAGTGAGTAATATATGATGCTATGTTTGAAATGTTGACATTTTTGTATTTTCTCAAGATTTCAAGTTAGTTTCTTAAAATATATATTCCACTTTGATCACAGATGATTATGTCATTATAAGAAATAACTAAGGTATATTGAAAAAATCTGTTTAAAAAGTATGCCTACATTTCTTCCATAATTCAGATAGATCTGATCTTTTTTGACTATAAAAATAATGCATACTACTTTATCATATTTAAACAATACAGAAAAATGTAGTAAGTAAAAGTCTACTACTTAAATGGAACCACTGTTAATGTTTTGGCAGCATCTTCCCTAAGGTTTTTTTTTTTTTCTTTTAATATATATGATATGTATTAGAAATTACTTAAAAATAGGGTCATATCATACAAGCTTCTTTATAACCTAGTTTCAAAGCCAGTGTGATAGATGTGGTTTACTCAATGAAAAAAATTATAACGATTAAATGGTATTTAATTGTGTGACTCTATTAGCAAGGTATAGGGTACTTACTTAATACCCTATTTAAAACAAAGTACTGTTTTAGATTATTGTAAATGATGTGATACATGTCTATGAACACATCTTTTTGAACATTTTGGATGATCACCATAGAAAGGGATATGGAGACAGCATTGTTGAGACAGGGAAGTAGTGCTGTTTATATTTTGATCAACTGGACTGGGGAGAAATGTTCACATATTGAAATGATCACCTTGTAAGCTAAATAATGTGATTGAATGTATTTAAAAAATGCAAATAAAAAATAAATAAAAGAAAAAAAAAAAGAATACATTCCTAGAACTAGAATTGCTAAATCAGAAGTGTGACTTGGTTACTTTTAAATAATAGCCTGGCAAGCCAGATCATATTCTCTGTCCAACAGTGATAAGTCCTAGTTCCCAGAAAAAATATTCCTTTAATATCTCTTCTGTAAAACTTGGGGATAAAATGCACACATGTGTGTTTTGCAGTTAATTGTAGGAATAAGAAAAATTCAGCCAAGATCGACTTGTTGACTCCTGTTTAAAGAACAGGCAGATCTCAGCTACATTATATATACTTTGCTGAAATTTCGTATGTTAAGGGCCAATGATAACAACTAGAGCTGTCTTGATAGGTTGTATATAATCCTCCAGAACTGTGGTTTCTGGGAACCAGCTTCAGAAGGATTGCTTCAATGAGAACAACTTGATGAACTTTATGGGGGAAGAGGTGCCACCAGCAGTTACCCCAATGCTTGATAATTGTGTTGCACTTTCCATTAAGACTATCAGATAACTTAAGTCAAGCCAATATATATGTTAAGAGAAAAAGGCTGTGCCAAAAGCAATGAATCAAAGCTATAGATTGCATAGGATTATTTCTGTGTTATAGGGTAGCCATTTGTCTGGTGTGCTTGAGATGAGGTTTGTTTGTTTTTTTTTTTTTTTTAATTGCCAAAGGGCATGGGTGCTCACTAGGGAGAGAAAACACCTCCCCAGGGGGCATGGTCACACTACAGTCTTCTTTCCTCCATTTCTCCTTACCTTCAGGATTTTGGGCAGATGTCTGTTGTGTTTTCCAACTACAGGTGGCCAAGACTCGAACTGCAGTGAGCCATGTGGAGTCTGGTTCCCAATGCACAGACCTTAACCACTGCACCACTGGGTGTTCTCATGATGATGACCTTCTGCCTATTCTTTTATATTTCTTAAAGATTACATGTTTTATGCTAATTATAGTTTAGATGGCAAATATTTAGATATATAACCAAATAAATCACATGTTTAACATAGTGCTCTTTTTCTGAGACTTATAGACTAAACTCAGCAAAGATTTAAATAATGGCTACAAGTATTTTAAAGTACTTTGGTAATATATTTTAATGTAAATAAAAGGAAACTTCCATGCGTGCTACTATTATTTTATTAGTTTATTTTTTCCCCATAACATCTGCCAAAATAGAACTTACTTATATATTTAAGGAATTATTGAGGTAACTATATGGACACTGTCTATAGGATAATGGTAAACATTGTAAGATAGAGAAAATGTTCTGTCCTATACACTATCTGTAGGATAGTGGTAAACTTATTAAGATACTCAGAGAAAATGTTCTGTCTTATCTTAGTGATCTTTTTCTGAACAAACTGAGAAGTTTCTGGATTCTTTGAGAGTCTAGTGGTATTTTGATTCTTCAGCAAAAGCCAAGAAGCATGCCCAGCTTTTTATTTTTGAAAAATATCCTACAAGATACTTATGTAGAATGTTTCCATGTAAATAATTCACATCATCTTTATTCATGTGTTATACAGCACTACTGTGTGAAAATTGGGCCCAGATCTTAAGAATAATGTTAGTAGTGTGCAGTTTAACCATGTGCAACAGACTTCCGTGATAGAAGGTTCTTGGTAAAATTGAAGTATAGCTTTTAGTAATTGGTAATTTTAAGTAATTGATACTCATATCTCATTTCCTATTAGAAACATTTACAACCAACTCTGGGAGTTGTTTCCAAGTTAGGGTCATTGTCTCTCTATTCTGGGAGAGATTTCTAAAGCCATGCTCATTTTCTATTGTTTCAGCATGATTCTTAGGTCAATTATTCATTATATATTTTTCTGGTGCCTATTCTTTTATCTTGTGGCATTTTCAGTGTTCTGTGATTAAGCCATTCAGGACATGTTATCTAATTCTCACACATATCATAATTTAAACTATTTTCTTACCAGTCTGAACCTTTTCCTGTACAAGTCTATGTATCCAACTGCCTACTTGACATTTCCACTTGGATGTCTAATGGTCATTCAAACTTAACCTGTCCCAGACTGAGTCTGTTATATTTCTCCCTGTAAACTAGCTTTTCTCACTGTTTGTTTGTTTGTTTGTTTATTTCTCAGATATTGGCACTTCTGTCCTTCTAGGTATTCAGATCTCCAAACATGACATCATCTTTACTCTTCTTTTTCTCTTTTACCTGATATTTGGTCTATTTTTTTGTTTTGTTTTTTGTTTTTTTTTATAGACCACAGATTAGTTTATTTTTAACACCCATCATGCCATGAATTTCATAGGGAATAGGTTCCAGTAGCTCAGGCTCCTTTCCATCGGTTTTCACAAAGTGTGTTTCTCTGGGTGGAGCAGGCTGGTGCTTTAGTTGAACTCAGGTACCTTCTCTTTGGCTTCTTCTTTTTCTGGTCATTTTCCTTCACCCGTTTTAGGAAGCTATCTCTGCTCTTAGAATGTTTAATATGCTCAATATGCACATTGATTTTCTTGGCAAGAATCTTGCCCTTGTTTGTTCACAACAATGCCAACAGCATGCTGGGTAACATTGTAGACTCTTCCAGTTTTGCCATGGTAACATTTGTGGGGCATTCCTTTTTGAACAGTACCCATTCCCTTAATGTCTACAATATCACCTTTCTTGTAGATTCGCATGTATATCGCCAAAGGAACAACTCGATGTTTTCTAAAAGGCCTAGAGATCATAGATCGGGTTCCTCTCCTCTTTCCCGTTGCGTTTGTCATTTCGGTTAATTACTGGAAGATGGCGGTTCCTAACCTGCACTTCTTGTAGCAAAAGACCACCCTGACCTCCCTCTGCCCACTTTCAATTTAGGACAAGATATTACAAGTTTAGGGAAACAAGTGTAAAACATGAGTACCCTGGCAGAGGCTTTCTTTCCCTTTGTGTTCGTCATTTTGGTTAATTACTGGAAGATGCCTGTTCCAGCCAAAAGGACACATTTGGTCTATTTGTAAATCCTGTTGGCACTATCTTCAAAGTACATTCAGAACTCTACTTCTTCTCATCCCCTTGCTGTTATCACCTTGGTCCAAGTCCCCTTCCTCACTCCTTTAGATTACTGCAGTAACTTCTTAACTTCTCTTTAGTCTGTTCTCAACATAACAGTCAGAATGATCCTATTGAAATACAATTAAAACTATGTCAATCTTTTTTCAGAACCATCAAAGAATTCTCCATCTCATTGAAAATAAATGGATTTCATCTCCTGCTTTTCTTCTATATACTAATTATATTCCAGCCTCATTGGCTTTCTTATTCTACCCCACATATTCAAGACTTATTCCCATCCCTGTTCTTTACAGTTTCTTCTCTCTTTGTCTGGAATACTTCCCATATTTCCTTTTGGCAAATTCTTTTATCGTATTCAGTTACTGTGTAGTGAAGTGTTCTTAGGCCACCTTGTCTAAAATTTTAACTTACTTTCCCCAACATATTATATTCTTCCATTCTTTGCTGATTTTGCCCTTAGTTTTAATAATTTAATAATTTTTACTTGTTTATTATTTTTTTGTCCATTTCTTCACTAGAATATAAGTATCACAAAGGCAGGATTTTTGTTTACTGCTACATTCTTTGTTGCCTAAAATGATATGAGTCCATAGTAGTCACTCAGTAAATATTTGCTGATGGATGGTTTGATAGTTGAACTAGACAGTCTTCATTCTGATTCTCTTCAGTGCCTTAATCTGAAAAAAAATTAGGATTAACCCAATAAAATCAGATTTATACAACACAGACCATAAATATGTTTGAGTATACAATGTTGAGAGAAAGTGTAATTGGAGGTTTTTGAAAAAAATATTCAGAAGTTACTGTATGTGCTAGGAATTATTTTCTGGGAGTAAACAGACAAGGCATACAGCTGTGTAAAATTTGACATAGTGCTTTTAATGTACAAAATTTGGGAATAACAACTATATAAAAAAGTGAACTTATTAATAATCTTTTACTCTAAATAGAAGATAAACTCTAAAACCTTTAAACCTGACTGGTCTTGTGAAATTAAGTTTTCCTAAATATGCATACATATAATTAGAATAATTGCTTTCCTTTAGGAAATTACTGGTATATCTAGAGAAACTAATAATTATTATCAATACAGGAAGATTTTTTAAGAAGATGTCTATGAAACTTTTAAAGCTTGACACAATGATTTGTCAACTTCCTAACTTATTTTTGTTTTCCAGTGTTACATTAGCTGTTTATTGGTGCATAACACATTACTCCAAAATAAAAGTGGCATAAAACAACAGGTATTTATTAGATCAAAGTTCTGTGGATCAGGAGTCCAAGAACAGCTTAACTAAGATGACTCTGATTCAAAGGCTGTCATGCAGTTGCAGTTAAGGTGTTATGAAAAGGAGTGTCATTACTGCAGTCTGAAATGAGAGTTTTAAGGGGATGGATGGAGGGTGGAGTAGGGAGACCCACTTCTGGGTTTACTTAGTAGTCACTGGAAGATCTCAGTACTGAGATACTCAGCTACTCCATGAGCCTCATGAAGTAGCTGCTGGCTTTCCCCAAGGTGATCTCGCTACAAGAGAACTAGAAGCTGCAAATAAAATAGAATTGCCAGTCTTTTTACCATCTAATCCAGAAGAGACATTCCATTACTTCTGCCATGTTTGATTCTATAGAAGTGATTCAGTAGATCCAGCACACACTCCGAGAGAGGATTATATACCAGGAAATAAGAGTCCCTGGGGACAGTTTTCGAGACTGTCATAGATACTTCAATCTCATCCCACAATATTGCTGATCGTGATAACATGGCCATCAGCAGTTAAGGACTTGAGAACAATTAGTGAATTGTCAGCCAAGTTGTATTTTAGTTTATCTGTGAAACTGAAATCAGTTTATGGAAGAATGAACTTAAATGAACAACTGCAGAAAAATGAAGAAATCAAATGCCTTTAAGTCATTAGAACACAATTTCAAGCATTGTGAAATAGCTGTCACTTCAGGGAAGAAACAGTCCAAGATTTTCTCCAAGGAGATGACAAATCCAAAGCTAACAACCGCCACCTTGTTTTGTTACAGACTATTAATATTCCCTCACTCTTGTTAAGACCAAGAAAGAATGCAGTTAGTGGGAATTTTTTGTTCTGTCTCTACTTTAATTTGTTATGTTACTATACTATACTATTTGATATGATGCAGAACGAGGAACTCTGTCCTACCAACGCAGACCAAAATACTTGTCCATGGGCAACATTTGGAGTAATGTTGTGTGGTAAAATAGTGACCAGACAAAAGGTCAACAGTCTTTTTCCTGTTTCTTTTAGTCGATTGCAAATTCTTCCTTCAAGAATTGTCTTCTGACTTCCTAAAGACCAGAAGCTCCAGATAATATGCTTCATATTTAGTGGGTTCTAAAAGAATTTTGTCTGACTTAAGATTTATCTTTTTAATTAAAACTCTTTGTTTTCTTGCCATCTGAGGGAAAATAGTTTTAATTTGTTAATGTCATTGCAGAAGCTCTTTGCATAATGCTTGGCATATAACAAGCACTCAGTAAATGTTTCTTTATATTTTATGGAACAGGCTAAATCTCTTCATAGTGCTAAGTGCTTTTGTGGCATGCAAAACTAATATTTAATAGTGCATGGATGTTCTATATTATTAAGCCATCTTAAGCTTAAGAAATGAATAACTTGTGACTGTCCCTTATATCTCTAAATCACTTTCACTGCTCCTAACCCATCTTGAATTACAATTGAAAGTAATTTTTGATGAGTAATTTTCAAAACAATACACTTGGGCAATTTCATTTTTTTCTTCCCACCTTCTTTTCCAAAATTAAAACAAACATTTGATAATGCCTAAGTGAAGATCTTTGTATGGAAAAGAGAATTCCTTGTGCATTACGATTAATGAAGATTAATGTGCATGTGCTTTCTACTTATATACTAATGCTATTTTCCTTGTCCTTTTGTTCCACTGCTGCTTCCATCCTGATGCATTTTGCTTCTTCCTGGTTTGGACTGTATTTGTTTGCTGCTCAATTACCCTGCACTAAAAGCTTCTTGGTGATAGCAAAGATGTCCTTGGGCCGTCAAGTAAGTAGCTGAAGTTTGAATGGCATGTTTGGGGACATGATAACATTTTGAAGAGTACCTATAAAGGACAAATGATATTTCAATTTTAGTGTTTCAGGGCATCTACTTTCTTTCCAGTCACTGAGATACAATACAAAGTAGAAAATATAAATATTCATTAGGTGCTTGGTGTCCATCCATTCTCATTGTCCATCTGAGATTGATAGTATTGTTATATTTATATCTCAATGATCTAAAGATATGTAATTTACTTAATTGTCTAACTCATAACTTAGGATGTCTTAGCCATAATATTTCTTTATATAAGCATTGTCAATAATAGATCAGACTATTTCGAGGTTAAAGATGGTACAAAGAATTCACTGCTTTGTGAAAGAGAGAAATACTGTTTTATTTTGTCAGAATTTTTACATAATAGAATATTTCGATATAAATTGGTATTTTATACTTTGAGGATTTCATAAATAAGATGTTTCACCTTAAGGATTTTGATTATACACCCTTTAAAGTGTTATCCAATTGGCCTCACAGATGTTACTGAGAGTTTTTTTTTTTTCCCCCCAAGGGGACCAACACTCTGCTATCTCTTAGGATTATACAGTTAGTAAAACACTACCTGGCAAGTAATAGCAGCAACATTTGTGTTAAAAAATCACAGAATTACTAAGGCAAAAGGAGCTTCAGAGATCAATAAAGGATTAAAGATAAAAAGCCTGAATCTAAAAGCTTAAATGTCCCAGAAGTTAGAATTGTTTACTAGCCCAATATTAGTTTCTTCCACTGCTATTCAAAAATGAAAGTAAAATTTGGGACCAGCAGTTAGCATAATGGCTATGTCGCTGAACTCCCATGTAGTCAAGCGCGGTTTGAGCCCCGGACCCGGTGGCTTAAACTCACTCTGGGTGCGTACCCAAGATCCCGAGAGGAGAATGGAGGAGAAGGGATTGCAGCATGGCCATCCCCCCCGGGGGGTGATTTCCCGCTTTCTATCTCTCTTTCTAGCGAGTGCACATGCCCTATAGCAAAAACCTCTCAAAAAAAAAAAATTAAATTTATCATTTGCTGAGTTCAAGGCTAACCAACTATTTAAAATTTTGCTGCATCATAAATGAACCAAAGATTTCAACTTTATTGATGAGCAATGTAGGTAATTGTATTGACTTAGGGTGTTTTAGTAGTTATCCCTAAATAGTTATCTGACTGTTACAAGTCAGTTTATGTCTCTGAGATTTTTTTTTCATGGAGGGACTGAGCAAGATTATGGCAAAACTCTCTTCTAGCAATGAAATTCTTTGGTCTAGCTCAGTTAGCATTTGTCCTAATACTGGTTATAGAATGTATATAACTTTTTCTAAAACAAGAGAATCGAATTACAATGCTAAAATTCTTTTTCATTTTAAGTTGTAACAGCTCATGATATTTTAAATATCTTATTGTACACTCAGCTATTATTCTACTGATAGGATAGGAGAAATTTTAAAAGTAGAAAAAAAGAATGCAAATTCCCAAACTTTTTCAGGCCTTGGAAAATAATTCCAATGGAATTTTCACTTTACTGCATATATTTAGATGTTGACTAAGGTGAAATGAGTGGCACTGCTGATCTTTAATGCATAGATTATCAGTTTCAACATTAACTGAAAGCTTTATATTAGGAACTGGATTTTATAAATGAGAGTCTTTAGTTTTTATTTGGAATAGAAAATATTTACTAAGGTTATATATATATTTAAAGCATATATGAGTTTTTAAAAAGTTAATGGAAATGTGTATTATGAAGAAATTTTCCATGGATTTCAAAATATTTTACACCAAATAAATTCATATTTTTTCCACCTTTTCTCACACTTTTTCTTTTTTAGTTTTTCTATAGGGTACGTGCACTCACCAGAGAAGAGAGAGAGAGAGAAACAGAGAAGGTGAAAGTGAGAACTCCCCTCCACCCCCACCCAGAGGGATGACCACACCACAATCCTTTCTTCTCCATTTTCCTCTCAGGATTCTGGGCACAAAGGCACCCATGCCTGGTGTGATTTTCAAGCCACCACCTGCTGGCCCCTTTTCTTACACTTTTTAAATCTCCTTGCATAAATAAAAGTATACATGTATTAGGGCTGAATGTTTAATGTACTCTGCCAAGAAGTGAAAGGCTGGGGCTATCTAACTCTTTACTGGAGATTGTACAGCTTTTAAAGTGAAGGACTTTAGTGGTTTCTGATTTGGAGATGTACTATTTTTAAAAGTTCATTTGTTAAGAGAGCTGAGGGAGGGAGAGATGAGCAGAGGGAGAAGGAAGCAGACAGGCACCCTTGATAGGATCCTCCTACCATAATCCTCGCCCCAGCCCTGTAGCCAGCCAGGATTTCAAGCCTGCCTACAGGCACACACAGAATATCTACGTAGATCCCAGATACAGACATGAACCTGGAGCCTTTCCTATATGGCATCCGGTGTTGGCAGCAGTGCCCCAACTACCTATGCCACTGTAGCTGGGCCATGATTTATATTATTTAAGAAAAATGGCATGATACATACACTTAAATTATTTCAATATTTAAGAAAAGTTATACCATCTGTAAGGGAGATTTAAGATTTATACACAGATTCTTTATGACTTGAAAAATTACTTCATCATCTCCTAGTTTCCATTTAGATGAAAATGATCAAGCTTTGAACATTGTGAAATTCTTCAAACTTTAAATATATATAAGTCTAATTCAGAAAGTAAAGAGTGTTAGTTTTCCTTACAAGGTGCTGCTGTTATGTTAATTATATTACTGTTAATTATTTCTGTGTGATTTCTGCTATTCTTAAGATGAGTAATGTAAATTTTGACAAATTTTTTTGTAGCAGGTATTTTGCTTTCACTATAAGTAAAACCAGCAGAGGGCACTATAATATTATCTTTTGTAGATAAGTCAATTGTAGTGTCAGAAACTACACTGGAACCATGCAATAATTTATTGATCAATTTGCCTATTCAGTCACTTAGCAAGTATTTAATGAGTGCCAGTTACATACTAAGGGATACAGATAAAAAGTCATTGCTATTCTTAAATGTATATTTGGGTAGTTTATTATTGTGCAAACAGTGTAGGACATCACATCATTTTTATATTATCCAGTGCCTGTTTTGTCTAGTTACTAACGCTTGTGGACAAGGCAAGAGAAAACAATAGAAAGATGGGCTTTCTGTGTCGTGTTTGTGTGTGTGTGTGAGAGAGAGAGAGAGAGAGGTGGTGCACTCTGTATGTTGTCATTTCTATGCACAGTCTCACTTCAAGGTTATCAGAATCATACAGTAATACTTCAATCAAAAATGAATTAGGAAGGCATCACTAGAACTAACTTTATACTGCTTGGGCTATTTCATTTTTTATGTAATGAAGTTATTTAAGAAAGAGATACCTATGTCTTACTGGAAGAATACTAAAACATACTTTAAAACATACTTTAATTCTGTTAGTGGTTCCTCTTATAATATGTAAATAATAAATGATGAAGCATAGTTACACAGTGAGCACAACTCACTTCAAGTATTAGATTTTTTTTCTTTTGATAAGGGTACATGCACTTGCCAGAAACAGAGAGAAAATGAGAAATCACCCCCCACCACCACCACCACCAAGGGAGATAGCCACACCGCAGTCCCTCCTTTTCCAATCTCCTCTGGGGTTTTTGTGTAAGGTATGCACAAGTTCCTGGTGTAATTTTCAAGCTGCCCAGACCAGGACTTGAACTACGGTTGGCCATGTGGTTGTCCAGTGCCTTAACCATTGTGCTATCTGCCAGTCCCTGATTTGATCTTAATATCTCCCATTTTTCTGTTTTTCCATTTTTTAATTCTTTTATATCACCATGCCTGTCCCCAGAAGGGATGGCTAGGTCATATGAGGGATCTTCTAAAAATTCATGAAGAAGTATATATTGTGAAAAAAGTATGCATGGATTTCGCCTTCTTCAAGAGACAGACAGCTCCATGACTCCTGTGATCTAGCCATTTGGGAAAAAGGAAGATGTCCCACTGATAACTGGGCCTCCAGCATACAAAACTCGTGTGAACAGCCCTTCACTTACAAGTCTCCTGTCTCTGTATCACTCTTTGTCTCTCTCTACCTCTGTCTCTGTCCTCTCTCTCTCTCTCT